AATCAGCTGTTGCCTATTGCCTGCATCTTCAAAATATTTGGAGAAGAGATCTTGTTTATCACGTTGCTCTAACACTCGTACTCGAACACTGTGTGTGTAACTTAGACTCACACAAACTCGGATGGAAAAATGTACACAAAGAGATACGCGCGCGCACAAAAAACCCCAACAACATCAACAACGTTTCCACTGAAGTCACCACGCAGTAGAGCGTGGGCAGAATGTGTCAAACGCTGTACGGACAACAAACTTGGTGACTTTTGGAGGTTTTGCCTACAGCTTTGAGCAGTTTGTCCTTCTCACGGCCCCCAAAAACACACTTAGGGCGGTGTAACGTTAACTGGTACGCAAATAAAAAACAAAAAAACAGACAAAGAATGGTGTGAAGCAGAACAACGCGCTAAAAACAGGCCGTGAAAGCTTGAATTCCTTCACGAAATTGATTCTGGGGCCTCAAGACCGTTCTCTTTGGAAAATAAAAATACAATCATTGGAAAAGAGAACGCCCACACACGGGTGGTGACCAGGCAACCTGGTCCACGGTTTGAAGAGACGACACAACTTTGAGTTAGTTACGTCCCATTATGCACATAAATCATTGGATTTACCAAAGCCACCATCAAGAGAGGATATTTTATGTTCAATTTTGGAAGATTTTTAGCTATTGTGCAGATGTTTGTGAGCCTAGATGGACCTTGGACCTGGTTCATTCCAAAACTCAGCATAACGGGTAGCTAGTGATATCATCACTGGCTTTATTAAATTCAACATTACATGTTCGAATGTTTGTCTCAGAGGTGTGGGGGGGGGGGTTGTATAGTACCCTGACTGTTGAAAATTAGGGAATAAGCGAGGCAGATGGCCGCCCACCCTGAGCCATGGTTCTGCTAGAGGTTTCTGCCTGTTAAAAGGAAGTTTTTCCTTGCCTGTGTCGCCTAGTGCTTGCTCATGGTGTAGGGAACTGTAGGGTTTCTGTAATTAACTTCAGAGTAGGGTCTGACCTGCTCTGTTTGGAAAGCGCTGTGAGACAACTGTTGTTGTGATGTGGCGCTATATAAATACAATTTAATTGAATTGAAATTGAAACTCAGTTTTATTGATAAAAAAAGAGAGATCGGATTGCCAAAAGGTAATGTTGAAAACACCAAAATACTACAGAACAACTGAAAAAAAAAGGGGAAAACATGAACAAAACTAACAAGGAGCCAGGCAGAAAACTAGCTGGACAACACACATAATGGACAAGACATACAATAGTGACTGTAACTACTGTGACAGAGGATACAAACCGGGAATCTTAAATACAGTAGAGAGGGATTAGCGAATGAAGAGCGGCTTAGAGAACGAGCCCAGGTAAAAGGGAGTGGAGCTGATGAGTAAAATGGACAAACACCGAGAAGCCAGACAGGAAACGGAGAATGTAGAAACCACGGAACAGGATCCAAACTAAGACAAAGTAAGAAAAACGGTCAAAACCCTGGAAAACAAAATGTGGGGCCCCATTGTCCCGTCTCTTGGACTCACAAACTTCCTGAACAAATAACAACTAAGATCAGCTTGTTTTTCCCCCCTCGACCCGGATGGAACATTTCGAGGACATAACAGGCTTGTAATGTTTACGCTCCCTTTCAAAAACCATATCATTTTGAAAGCCACGTTGAAAGAAAATCACTGCAGAATGAAAAAAAAAAAATGCAGCTGTTGTTTCTGTTGGTCTGTGACAGACGGGGGGGAGAAGAAATAGGAAACAGTTTGTTCCGAACATGTGAGAGCTTTTACATCTGTTTTTTTGTTTTTTTTTGGTTGCTCGACAGGAAAAGAAGTCACATTTGAATTCCTGTTCCTTCCCAAAACACCCCCTCCAACCCCCTTCTTTGTTTCATTTATAATTTACTGCCCCACTGAAGCTATTAGGGATACAGAGACTAGACAAGCCAAGGCAAGCCTCCCTCCTATGGCGTGCGTGCACACTCCTTCTGGTGATGTAATGGCCGACCTGGGACTCCCTGCTAGCTCCCTCTCGCTGCCCTACTTTCTTGCAAAAAAACGAGCATCCTCGTATCTCTTTCTGTCCAGGGCTTGTAAAGCATCCGCACGGCTATGTACCGAAGATGTGCTGCTTAAAAATGTCTAAAAATGAAAAAAAAAAACATGCAGAAGGATGCAATCATATTCTCAAATTCATCCCTTTTTTTTTAAAAGGACATCAAGTCCACTAACCTCATCAGGCTGTTTTTTTCTACTCCGAGTCTGGGTCACCGTGTACTTTTCATAAAACGGTTAGATTGACATATGTGCGTAAGATTAGGATCGGACATAACCTGCAAGAACCAAAGGCTAGGACCGATTCAAGATTCTAGTCCTCTCTCTTCTCCACTGTCCAAAGGCAGTGTCACAAAACAAACTGAAGGAAAATTAATTTTAGTTTATAAGGAACCTCTGAACTTACTTAGTCTTTTTAATTGAATTCTACATTACGCTCATTTTGCTATTAGAGAATATCAAATATAAACTATAGCTTTAAGTTATTTTATCATAATTTCAGGAAGCTTGAGTATCATCAACGTCTAATCGTCCTTTTATTGTCTACATAACGAGTCGTGTAACATAAATGACATGTTGTTTTATAGTCCGCGACGACATTTACGATGTTTTCTTTGCGTAATGAGTCAGCTGCGTAGTAAAAAAGGTGGATCACAAGTCTGGTGGGACGTGGCAGAGAGAGTGTTTCATTATTATGTTCTCAAGTTACATAGTGAGGTAAACTTGTGATTTTAGCTTGAGCGGTTTGTTTCTTCTGAGACGGCTTGAGCACAAAGATACCGAGCATCATTTCCAAAAACGGACGCGGCAGTAAGGATTTAGTAGTCTGTACATTTGGGATATGATACCAGACTCCTAATTCGAGTCAAAATGCGACTGGATCAGCGACTCATATGAGTATAAATCAAAGGTTGTGTGTTTGTACTTTCGTCCTTTTTTGTAAACACGAGTGTTTTCACTTAAAACCGGCACACCTGTCTACCTGTGGTTTCTACCTGGGCAGGAAAACGTGCGCCGCCTCAGCATTTTTGCCCGCCTGGCACAGGTATGGAGCTGGGTGGAGCTCCAGCACGGTCGTTCCGGGGAAGGGGGGGGTTGATTAAAAGGTTTTCTTTTATTCTATTCTTGCCCTGGGCTGTTTTCTGGAATCGACCATTTAGCCACGTCATACCCCTCATTCCATTCAAAGGTGAGTTCGACGCAAGGCTATTTGTATAGCGCACCTTTAACTAATGCCAGGAAGTGAGCACAGCTCAGTCTCTCCAAGGAAGAATCCTCACCCAGTGGACTTCCTCGAGTTGGAAAGGAACATTGAGCCACTTGCTGACCGGGTCTGGTTGTATATATGAGTGTACAAACACAACAGGGGAGGACAGGATGTTTAAATCCAGTTCCGAATACGATACAGGAGCCGGTTAAATCCGGCTAAATCGACACACAAACCAAAAAAACAACAGCTCAGTGAAGATACTTCAACATTCAAAGTAGCGAGATTCCAAGGATTCATTTCACACGGCCCGACAAAAGGCGACTATACGCGCATTACTGTTTCTCCACATCCTGCTCCTGTCTATTGCCAAAGGAGTTTATTTTGTAGGGTCAAAATCCTTCCGCCAATGAGAATGAAGGCCCAAGATAGGAAGACTTTATCAAAAAAATGTGTTATTAAACTATGGACGTGATCACAAAAAAACAAACATATTCTGACAGACTGCTGTGCTAGCATGATGCTATACACTTCCACCTTATCAGTTTGGACTTTTAACAGGTCCGAATGGTTAATAGAGAAACAACATTTTTTCAAAATGTGATGGGAATTCGATTCTATTTGAAACACGAGACGAGGAAGAATACATTTTGCTGTGTATTTCGGAAGGGTACCTTGTAGTGGACACATTTGACGTACAAAGGGGGAATGGATTGTAAATTCAGAGCAGTACGTTCCTTTCTATACAGGCCTGCTCTTTGTATGAGGCTGTTTTGGGGAGTTTGCATACGAGAGGCCCGTCTCTGCCGGGCTGACCATTTGACTGAGGTCAGTCACACAGAACAGTACAGCCTGTACTGTATTGTAAGAGGAAATGGCAAACTAAACGACAATTTATAGGCGTATTCGCTTTTTTTGGGGGGGTTACTTGAGACCTCAGGCCCTCTGGCCGTTTCACCTTTCCCATTTTAAATGTTTTTTTTATTTTATTTTTTAGTGCCAGACTTTAAAAAGCTGATGGCTACATAAAGAAGACAAGAAAGTATTGCAGAAATGTCAAAGCAAGAGATAATCTGCACGAACAACGGAAAAAAGCGAACAGTAGGCCGGTTGTTCCTGATTCTTAGTTTTTCATATTATATACATTTATATATATTTCATATAAACTGAAAATAAATATTTGGGGCATAACAATGTATGGAAAAGTGTCTCCAAACCTTTGAGTACTTGGTCATTTTTTCCACCACTGGAAATGTGTCTCAATGACACATCAAAATATGAATAAATGCAAATCAATCAAGTCTGATTTAGAATAGACGTGGAAAAAAAAAGTGGAATAATGAGGGGGTCGGACGCATTAATTCACAGGTTAGAAAATTTCTCTGGAATTCATTGGGACGTGTGCTCGTTTTTTTTTCCGAGAGCCACTTTCTTTGTCTAATTAGTTTGGGCTTGTGGCTTGAAGTAGCACGGTGCAGTCACGCCCCCCTGACAGTGGGGCTGTCACTTCCAGAACGTCAAGGGGGCTCAGTGAAGCTGAAGCTGGAACGGCGTGTTCCAAAACAACCGCCACGAGCGGGCAACGACAAATCTAGTTTGCTCTGGACACAGATGTGGATGCAAAGACTGCCCGCTGGTCCCATTGCCTTCCATCCGCAGAGAAAACCGGGGTTTTTTTCTTGTGTGTTGAGCCGTTTTACGAAGAATAGAAGTTTCTGGAAATAGATTTAATTTTTCAAAATGTTTTGTCTACAAGTAAGCTTTCATATATATTCATTTTTGTGTATTCACTGACAGCCTCTTCATGCAAGACCCACAGACAGATATTTAGTGGGCGCTGCTGCCCCCTGCTGTTCAGCTGAAGTACAACAGCGAACAGTCACCCAAACGAACACGACTGCAAATCCTTCAGGCTTCCGTTTATCCCCGTTACAGAGCATCTGACCTGGATTCGACAACTCTGAGACAACAATCGGACCGCTTATGGCTGTCTCATCACGATTGCTGCTGCTTCTTGAGCTCAGCCAGCTGCCTCTGCAGGTGGTAGATGTCGTCCGACACCTGCCTGATTTAAAAAAAGCAGACACAGTTCAAAACCGAAAGTCCTCCCTTTCATTTTCTGAATTTTTTGCTGAAGTAAGGGTGTTATAAAAATGGCTTCTATTAGTTACGGTGCTGTATTTGCATTTCTTTTACCTGTAGATGGCTTGAGCTCTGCTCAGTTGGCAATGGAGACGCTTGACGATGGCCTCATGGCGCCTAGACTGGATCTAAACCAGTCATGAGTTAGTACAAAGACACAATCGAATGGCGTCCCGATAAAAATTAATCTGATTATTCCCAGTCGTACCTGTATCTCTTTTCTTAAGTGGCCATGACCATCACACTCCTTCTTCAGCTGTTCTCTCATATCAGTTATGGTCATCTTCCTCCCAGAGATCTCGTTCCTTAAAGCATCAATCTCTCCCTGAAAATATCAAATGGTGATACAATCTGCAGGTTTCTGACAAAAAAAAGCAATCGATTTTGTTTAAGAAGGATTAGCTATGTTGCAGCAGACTATTAAAGATGATTAAAGATCCAATACATTTTTTTTCCCCAAACCTTTGCTATCTGCACTGTGCTTCCATTTGGATTTTCCAAATCCTCCCTCAGCTGATCTTTCTTCTCTCTCAGCTTCTGAACCAGCACCTTCTTCCCCTCCAGCTCTTTATGGGCCTCGGTCAGGCTCACGGCCTCCCACACGGCTGCTCGGTGGCTTTCCATCTTCTTTCGGTAGGCGACGAACTTCGCCGCGGCTAGGTGACCGTTCTCCTCCTCCTCCCGGATGAGACTCTGTAGCTGTGTATTCTCCTTGTTGACAGACACACAGCGGCCGCGCAGGACATCGGTTTGCCTCCCGAGATGCTCCAGTTCGCCCTCGAGCATCAGAATTTCTCTCACTTTGGATCTTAGCTCCTGCTCTGCGGGCTCAAATTTCTTCTCAACATCAGAAAGATTTGCCTGGAGACATAGAATGCAGGTTTTCAAGGAGGGGTGGAAACGTGGGATGCGTGCATAAGTGTGATCTGTCAGCCAGAAATGATAGAACTGAGTATTTTTTTTGTTGTTTTCTTAGAATTGTATTTGTTTATTTAAATTCAGTTTAATCCATTTATAAAAATACTATTTGGTCAATGAATCAATCATTTAACCTCTATTTGGAAAGCATTTTTCATACAAATACTGTACATTGCAGCCCTTTACATAGGAGAATAGAATAAAAAAAAAAGAATAAGATAAATCCCATCTCCATCCACTTCCTAAACCATGTGACCATGAGTCTTCCATTGATACACAGAAAGACACATAAAGGATATTTTAAAATAAAAAGGCCCAGTTCCAGTTCAAACCATGGTATCCAAATGACATAGAAACAGAAATGATGAAATAGGAACACTATATGTACGTTCAGCCATTTTCTATTCCCGTTTATGTGAGGTAGGGCTTGGGAGACAGCCTATCCACTATGCTGCTGCACCACTCAGTCGCCACAATATGACATGTAATTGAATTTAGAAGTAATTTGACTTACATTTAGTACATATTTGTGTTAAAATCTTGTTGAAAGTACCTGCAGGGAGCTGAGGGTCCTCTGTCTCTCCTTTAGGGCCTCTGTCTGGGTGTGACCATGGTGACTCACATCCTCCAAGAGTTTGGTTATTGAAAACCCAGGATTTTCTGGAAAAACATACCAAAAGCGGTAAAAACAACTTCATTTACAAATTGAAAAAAAAAAAATCTATCTATTCATTTTTTAAATCAATTTATTTATTTATTTTTACTAAGAATTTCTTTTTAAGAAGACATTTTTGACCATTGTGGTTCAATATTTTTTTTTCGAAAATACATGGCAGGAATGAAGAAAACTTCTTATAACCGGAAATATATTTGACAATACATTAGAAAGACTAAAAAAAAATACTACATGTTAAATTTGAATTAAAATAAACACTCAAGTAAGCACCCCAAATTCGGACTGTACATTTGACAAGTGTTAGCCCGATTCTTTAGTTGGAAACCTGAGAATAAACCAGAGTAAAAAGTTGACATTTATTGGGTCACAGGTAAAGTATTTCAGCGCTGGGCTCTTCACAGAGGAAACCTCTCTCTCAGGGTCTCAGTCGGCAAAGAGCTCTGAGATCTGGGTGTGATGGGTCTTTGTCTCCTTGGCTGGGCACACCCCTCAAAAGGAGGACTGGACACAACCAAGTCCTATTGGTTAGTTATCTCTAAGACTAACAAGCCGGATTGTAAATTCATGTTGATGACATTGGAATGTGGTACCAAATGGTGTGTGTATGTGTTGACTTAAAGACGTGGATCTAATGCAACAGAGAAAGAAAAGAGAAAGAAAAGAGAGAAAGAAAAGAGAGAAAGAAAAGAGAGAGCAAAGAGAATCTGTGGTTACAGCCAGACACTTCATATAGTTATGAAAGAAATAAAACAATTAGAAATCTACATAGATCATGTGATAGCATACTATGCTAAAGGGGGTGTTTATAACCAAATCCTAACACAAGGTAGTCAGTTTACAGTCAAGATATCAAGATAAATAACATAGATAGCTTCAATAAAAAGGTTAAATCTTGTCAGTGAAAACTGAACTCGTTATTAATTGATATCTCACCGTCTTTGACGTTGAAGTTTGACATATTTTTTAGTTTTTTTAGCAAGCTAACAGGCACGAAAAAACTTATGCTAACAGTCAGAAAACGAGCCTAACTGATTAACCTGAAGCTAATTTGGTTTAATGGAAGGTAAAACACAACAAAACACTGGACAACGCGTTTCAGCAAAAATATAATATAAAAAAGAATCCGAAAATCAGGATTCACATACACAAAAAAATGAAAGTTTATTCTGTCACAAGACTTAATTTTTCATAACGCTATGCTTATTATTATTGTTATTATTGTTTTTGTTATATTTTTTATTATTATTGTGCATCGCAGTTTATTTTACTTATTTTCATTGTATATGTATTGTGCACTTTTTGTGTTTCGGTTGTGGGGTCATACCTTATTAAGATTTATTTTAAAGTTTACAATTCGGTCATACTACAACTCCCAGTGTTCCTTTCGTCTTCTCTGCATAGTAACTACATCCGGTGCGTGCTGACCTGCTGTATCGACACACTGTTTTGTACTCGTAAACACGTGTGGCTGTCATTGACCTTTTCTTGGTCTATAGCTACTGTATCAAATGGTTGTCAGTCGCTGGCTCCGACTTTGCTCTTTTTGTAGTCATGTAGTTTTACACGGCCGCGAGGGAACAGCCGGGCGGAGGTCGCTGTTAGGAAACAGGATTCTGAAAAACCCGAAGGGTACGCGAATGCGTCCCGGCGGCGCTGCTGTGGTTCCGATACGTCTCGCTCACGGGGACTTGGGGGATTTGTACGAGTCCGAGTCCGTGCAGAGGTATCTCCAGAAGCTAATAGAAGAGTTCCGAGACATTAGCGCGAAGTTACAGCACGCGCACCTCAGCGAGGCAGACAGGAAGTTAATGATAAAGAAGCACAGTGAGTTGACACCTCTGGCTGATGTGTTTAGGGGTATAGAACAGGCTGGGAAAGACCTGGAAGAAGTCCTCTCCCTTTTACACAGTGAGTTATGCCTTTAAAGTTGTCTTAAATCTGACTCGTATATATATTATTCTATGTAATTAATATGCACTTACATGTAACTGAACATGAATGTCATATTTGTAACAGTTGTGCGCATCTGAGGTTAAATATCCAGCTTTCCCCAATGACCACAGATCCAGCTGACCCCAAGGATGAAGACGAACATCTGGTCCAGCTGCTACGAGAGGAAGAGGCCAGCATCTCCTGCAAAATCGCCGCCTTGAGAAAAGATGTAGGTTTTGTTCAAATGCGCCTCAATGTGTGTGAAGGATCGTTTCCCTAACGTAGTGTGTCCCCTCAGCTGGTCAAAGCTCTCCTCCCCGCTGACCCTCTGGATTCCAGCGATGTGGTGCTGGAGGTTGTGTCGGGTCGAACAACAGGAGGTGCTTTTTTGTGTTTTGGTCACTTCCTTTGAACTCTTACAAATGCTCTAAATGTACTTTATTTCCCAGAGATTAATAATTTAGCCACAAAGGTAACACACCTTATAATAACATAAGCAATAATAAGCTGTGAGGTTAGCCTTTAAATCTGACTTTATTTATGTCTTTCCAGGTGACATCTGTCAGCAGTTCACCAGAGAGATGTTCGACATGTACCGGGGCTTCGCCGGTCACAAGAACTGGGACTTTGAGGTTTTGAACTACACACCCGCCGACTACGGTCAGTCTGCAGACGGTCAGAACGTTTGAGTCAAATGTAGCAAACCGTTAAAACCTCCTTATTTATCTCCGTTGTAGGTCTTGAGCTCATGAGGAATGGTTTGGAATCATAAGCTGAAATGTTTTTAGCCGTATCTTGCACAAAATTCTTTGATCTTTGTTAACTGGTTTGTATTTTTGTTTTTAATGTTGTTCATTACTAGTTTATGTTAGCATAAAAATGCTCTGAAAGCTTTAATTAACAATCCTTCTGTAATTGTTACTCATTTTAACATTTTTTTAAAGTTAATTTGTAGTTTATTTAGCATTTAACTTCACATTAGACCTTATTTGACCTTCAATATATTTTAAGTTCAGAATAATTTGGGGTTTAGTTAATTTAACTTCTCCATAATTTATATTTTTATAGCTTCATGTTTGCATTTCCTCACACTGAAAAAAAAAGTGAAACCAAAATCAAAGTCTTTGGTCCACAAAGCTGATTATTCTTCATCAAATCAGCTATTTTGAGCTTAGTTATAGATTCATTGTCAATTAAATTTGTTTCCCCTCCAAATTTCTAGGGTTTATGTTTTGATGTATACAGACAAAATGGAACTCGAGTCAAATTAATTACTAGATTTCGATTCGTCATATTAGATTGTTTTAGCTTTGTATTGCGGAATTTTAGCTAATTTTGTTACCTTTGGAAACATGTAAAACACCAATTTTGAACGGGGCTTGCTCATATTTTGTCATTTTATGTAAACAAAAAGTATTTTTGATGGCAGATATTCCATCCTGAGTCACTTTTGTAGAATATTTAATTCTATATTCGTGCGTCCGATTTATAGCAAACATAACATCTGGATTCTGGCCGAGGCAGATGGCCGCCCACCCTGAGCCATGGTTCTGCTCGAGGTTTCTGCCTGTTAAAAGGAAGTTTTTCCTTGCCTGTGTCGCCTAGTGCTTGCTCATGGTGGGAATTGTTGGGTTTCTGTAATTAACTTCAGAGTAGGGGTCTGACCTGCTCTGTTTGGAAAGTGCTGTGAGACTACTGTTGTTGTGATGTGGCGCTATATAAATAAAATTGAATTGAATTGAATTGGACTCTGTCTCAGGTGGATTACACCATGCAGCTGTGAGGGTAGCCGGGGAGAACGTGTACAGGCACCTGAAGCTGGAGGGAGGCACGCACCGGGTCCAAAGGATCCCCGAGGTGGGCCTTTCTTCCAGGATGCAGCGTATCCACACGGGAACCATGACGGTCATCATCCTGCCTCAGCCTGTGGAGGTGTGTGTGTGTGTGTGTGTGTGTCTGTCTGTGTGCCCCTTCTTCTGCTCAGCAGCCTTTGATTGATAGGGGTAAAAAAAAATAATGTTTTTTTTAAGTGTCCGTTTGTCTCTGGTCTGTTTGCGTAGTTGGATGTCTACATCGACCCAAAGGATCTTCGAATAGACACGTTCAGGTCCAGAGGGGCCGGGGGTCAAAGCGTTAACACAACGGACAGCGCTGTGCGAATAGTCCATCTTCCAACAGGTAAGTTTTTATTCTCTCCGTACACATTCAAGTTTTATTAAAATATTTATGTATACTTATGTTTTTATCAATTTGTATTTAGTTCACAGTTAACTTCAGAAATAACAATAATAATGAATCATTATTAACAAATAAATATTATTTTGTGTGTATTAGTCTTTATCATTGTCATTGTAATTGTATCTAAGGACACAATATTTCCTTTTTTATTTTTGGATTTCACGTTTTCAAATCAGATTTTATTTCACATTTTATTTCTTTAGTTAGTTTTCTTTTTAAGTGGGTTTATTTTCACAATATGTTTTTCCCTTTGCTATTTCAATATAAAACCAGCTGTTACAAAAAAAATCAATCAAATCAAATGAATCAATCAAAATACTTTTATTAATTCCTTAATTCAGAAAAACAATACAGCATAGGCAGGCTGTGTATTTCCTGACTCAATTAATCTTATTATGCAGAAAATGTAAACTTTCCCGTGTTGTATTCATTTGGTTTAGGACAGAAAAGGCAAATGCCAGAAAATGGCCGCCAAACACAGCAGTATAATTTTGCAGTGTTTCTCTGATCCTCTGAGTCTGAAAGTGGCGAATAAATTCTATTCCCGCATGTGGGTTTTTAGAATATCCTTTAAGCCCTCCCGATTGATTTTTCTCCATCCTGATCGCGCTTCTTACAGGTATAACGGCTGAGTGCCAGCAGACTCGCTCTCAGCTCCAAAACAGAGACACCGCCATGCGCATGCTGAGGGCCAGAATCTACCGGAGCGCCATCACCAAAGAGGACGAGCAGAGGCACACGGCACGGAAGCAACAGGCGAGCCAAAACCGGTCGACGTTAGCCACCGGAAGTTAGTCCGGTGTTTTTATTTTTTTATTTTATTTTTTTTATATATTTTTTATTTTTTACATTTTTTTAATTAATTTTTTTATTTTAAATTTAAAATTATTTTTTTACTTAAAATTTTTTTTTTCTTTTTTTTAAATTTCTTTTCTTTTTTTTTACTTTAAAAAAAAAAAAATTATTAACTCAGCCTACATTTCCAGGTGGGCACACGGGCTCAGTCAGAAAGAATTCGCACCTACAATTTCAGCCAAGATCGCGTCACCGACCACCGCACGGGATACGTCACCAGGGACATTAAGGTTAGGCATAACGATATTTAAAAAAAGAACCACGATGTGCTCATTTACAACCAGGATACGCCTCATAAAGCTTCCTCATTTTGAAATGTCACTCAGGAGTTCATGCGAGGAGGAGAGGCCCTGGACGATCTGATCTCGGACGTGCGGGAACAGGTGGAGCGGGAAGCTCTGCTGGAGTTGGTGGACAGCCAGAGGTGACCAAAGGAGGGACGTTCCGCTGACCGCCACCCCATCACAACACATTAACGGGCACATGCGATCACCCCCGGCAGCCTCAGGGCTGTAGACAACCACTAGAATTTCATAAAACGGTTACAAATTCTCCAGGAGAAGACAGAAGGACTGCTTAGCTTTAACTTCTTTACTATAGTTACACAATACGGTTAACAACAGATGGTTTAATCCTGGACAATTCAACCACAAGGAGACTCAAATTTGGACTGAACACTCCAAACAATTCTCGATAAAGATTTCTACAACTATCTTCATCTCTGCTACACATCAGTTGTCCATGTTTTTGGGCTGATTTATAATTTATTTTGTCGTCTATTTATTAAACGGTATATATTTGACGAGTATACACAATAGTATTTATACTATAGGGATGAATAAAGCATTGTTGGATGATAGTGATTATGAACATTTGAATTTTTTTCTTTCCTCTATATTACAAATAGTATTGTGATAGTTTTTAAGGAGATAAATCTGAAAATAGTATGGAGGAGTTTTACTTCTTCATACCCCTTCTCTTGTCTTTTTGCCCATATCGTAAATAGTAATCGTAGTTGGATGGATTTACATATACCGTCAAGTACACATAAAAAGTATGAATAAATACTCAAACTGTATATCCACATACATAACAAATTTGTACCTATACATTTATAAATATACACGTATTCCCATCTTTATGCATGTCCGACATTCTGAAATGAAAGGCTGAGGTTTTGCAACAAAACTACATAAATTAAGAAGCGTTGGGTAATAACAGGGAGGGGCTTTTCATCAATAAAGCCTCTCTCGGCAAGCCAAATGGGTTCTGGTGCCATAATGTTGAACAGGACTAAGTTAAAAAACAATAAAAAGCATCTCCTCCAGTACACGGCATAGGAGAGTCAGCACTTCAGGCCATGACTCAGCAGTTCACCTCCGTCTCAAGGAAAAGGGCCTGTAGAAGACTATTTTATTCTAAGAGTATACTCAAAAAGTCCAGTTCCTCTTGAATATACTTTTAGGATAGTCGCGAATCGGACTGAACTAAGATCGGCTTTGCAGTTATCTGCTCAAGATGTTGTCTCCCCGATCTCCTAAAAAGAAAAATGGTATCTTCACCTCTCCAAAAGCTCGGTCAGGGTTAACTCCTCTTGGAAATAAGTCAGCTGTGTGTTTTATTGCCTGTATCTTTTTGTGGTTCTTTGCCAGTCAGGGTGCGGCGAAAGCACCTATCAGCTTGATACACACACTTTGAACTAAAAGCGCGTCACACCCTTGGCAAATGTCCCAGTGGCTCTCGTAATAAGTTTTTTTTTTTTATCTGTAGGGTTTCGACTCTTAACCAAAGCAAAGTAACGAATTTGTACGCTAAGTAAAGTAAAGCCAGAAAAAAGTTCACAATGGCGTGTTGATAAGAGCGAACTTTATGACAGAAACCAGTATAAACAGAGAACAAATTAGTCCAAAAATAAGGGGGAAAAAAAAGCGTCAGCAAGTTTTTATTGGCGTAAAAAAGTCGTGAGGAGGCGGGGGTTAGTCGTCGTCGTCTCTCTGTCGGAGGCTCCGGGATTTGCCGTTCTGCGCCTTGATTTTCCGGAAGGAGGCTGACCCGCCCTCGTCTCCCAGCGAGGTGATGACGCGCTCTTTGAATTTGGGTTTGGGCTCCGGCGGGAGGTCCACCGGCTCGTTGGCGGCGCCCCCCTCCACCTGAGGCAGCTGCAGGTCCACCTTGGCGCTAATGGGGACACAGAACAGAACGCCTAAGATCTTAGCTAAGATCTTATGTGTTGAGCCATGGTTCTTGCTCGAGGTTTCTGCCTGTTAAAAGGAAGTTTTTCCTTGCCTGTGTCGCCTAGTGCTTGCTCATGGTGGGAATTGTTGGGTTTCTGTAATTAACTTCAGAGTAGGGTCTGACCTGCTCTGTTTGGAAAGCGCTGTGAGACGACTGTTGTTGTGAGGTGGCGCTATATAAATAAAATTGAATTGAATTCCGTTTGCCCCCACTCCGATTTAGTCCCGTCCCAGACCCGGACACTTACTAGGGGTCCTCCTCCTCCTTGATCCGTTCCCAGGCCCCGTAGGGATTGGCGGCTTTGGATCTTTTGGCTTTGGTCACGACCGGTGTCGTCTTCTCCGGTTCCACCGCCGGGGTTTGGACCTCCTGTACCCTCTCCTCCTCCTTTGGAGGATCAGTGTTTGCCTCGTCTTCTTCTCCTTTTTCTGCGAGCTCATCGTCCGCTTTTCTTTTCTGAAAAGATAGGAGATAAGTTTATCGGATCGTGATTTGTATTCATAGAAATTTCTAGAATTGGGGTAGAAGAAAAGGGCTAATGTGATGAGTAATGACAGGTTGATTTGATTATTTTGTCTTAATTTTTACTCTAATAAATAATAAATCAAACAATTTAGATATTCAATCTGCATGATAATGCGAATTTGGGGGCTGAAGAAAGAAAATTTTCTATTCAGAAAATGGGTCTTGCTCACCCTGAAGCTGATCTTTGGGATTCTGGGCTGCTGGTTGGCAGGATCGAGGGCCTCCTCGGATTCCTCCTTTGTGCTTTCCTCTGCCGGAATTGGGTCCAGCTCCGGGGCTGAAGGCTCCTCTTGAATCTCCCCCTGTTCACCGAATCCAGACGCCTTCTCGGAAAGAAAATCGGTCGGCTTTTCCCAGCTGGACTCTGGGCGGACGAGGGGGCGAATAAACACGGTTAGCAGCTGTCATCTTTTCAAATGTCAGGAAAATCCATTTGGATTTGGGTGCCATGAATAAAAGAAAAAAAAAAAAACACCTCCTGTTTCTGTGTTGTAGAAATACGTGTACCCATCGGGACTGACAGCTTCCATCCAAGCGGAGCCGGAGGAACTCTGACGGAAAAATACCAAAATGAGGCGACCGGTTTAAAAAAAAACATGCAAACAAATGTGGAGCATAAGGACCGGAACTCACTTCCATTTGCTCGGGCTGTGCCGAAATGGAATTTTCTCCCTGAAAACCCGCCGGTTTGTCCCACCGAGACTCTGTTTTTGAAACGCAAGCACACAGACGTGGAGTCAAACGGGCCAAAATGGTCCACGAATCCGGGATTATTTTTAAATCTCACCTCCGGTTGAGCTGTTGTAATAGTACGTGTGTCCCTCTTCCGTCAGGCCTTCGACCCAAACCTGATTGGCCGGCGGCTCTCTGGACTTCATGCCTGCTTTTCCTCCTTTCTTTTGCTGTTTCTTAGGTTGGGGTTTGCCCTGGGGTCTGGCCTGTGGTTTGGCCTGAACTCGGACCTCGGGTCTGACCTGAGGTGGCGGCCGTGGCGTGGCCTGGACCGGAGAGCTCAAACCTAACGCAGAGAGCCTTGATTTATACGCGACTGGGGAGAAAGCCTCCACGGATGGTCAAGGGCTAAACGTACCCAAAAACGTACCTTCCGATTCCCTTCCCATCCTCTTCAGGTCTTCCTCGTAGGCCTTGAGTGCCGCCTCCTCCATGGCTGCGAACTGCTTGGACATGCGTTCCTCCTGTTTGGCCTTGTCGATACTCTTTTTTTTAATCTGTGGAGAGAAAGAAAGGGGCCGGATGAGCGAAGGAGGCCGGTAGCCAATAAGAAGCGAGCCAAAACAGTGATCGTGTTAATGTACGGAGCTTATCTCTTCACTGCCAGCCCTGAGAAGGGTCCCAAAGCCAAAGCAGGCACGTCTTTTTTTTGTTTTTTTTTGTCAAAGCTGCTTGTAATTAGCCTGTAATAGCTTGATTTTTGTTTAGTATCAATATTTTGATGAATGTGGATGAGATTGGGTTCCCTGTGAATACTCTGGCTTCTTCCCCCCGTCAACCAACTTGCATTTTAGGTTAATTGTGGACTCCAAATTGCCCCTAAGAGCGAATGCGAGTGCGTTTGGTTGTTTGTCTCTGTGTGCGTTATTATGGACTAGCAACCTGTCCAGGGCGTACCCTGCCTCTCGCCAAAATAGTCAGCTGAGACAGGCCCCAGTCCCCTCCACAACCCCATTAGGAATAAGTGGTATAAACAATGGTTCACATAGGTCAGTTTGTCGTCTCTTTATGGAGTCAGTTTAAGTTCTGTGCTATAAGACGCTACGATGACAATAATAGTATGTTTAGATTACATCATTTTATTTGCAGCATACTCGTGGTTATAAAGATTAAATATAGTCTGGGAACATATTTGATACTGACCTGCAACACCTCTGAAATAAAAATTCAGGTGCAGTTCGTGTAAAAGACACCCTTAGAAAAAATTATAATACGGTAATGAATCCAGAAAAAAAATGGTTCTGTTAAAATTGCATTCTCTATTGGAGTTGCTTGTATGTCTTCCAAATGTTCTCCTTTGATAAGATTAAAATACATGAGAATTCAATGTGCAACCCAACTAGATATCTCGATATGCTATATTTTAGTCGTAAACGCATCTTTAAAACAAGTTGCCAGTGCAGCTATTATAGTCTGTAGCTTTAAATGTACTTTTTTATTTGTCTTATTGTCTTTGATGGTATAATAAAAACAATGAAATGGGTCTCTGAATGACGAAAGGGATGATCTCATCGGCAACGACTAAATTAGGACACATAAATTCATAACCAGGATACTAACCAACACGTCTGTGTTGTATAATCCTGTGAAATCTAAAAAGAAATCTAGATATATATTGTAGTCAGTCACAATCTTATCTATAATTTGTTCATTCTTAAGGTTGCCTTAACATACAGACAATAAATGAATAAATAAAGAAAATGTGTTTCCATTTACGTACCTCTGAGATTTTGGCAGTAACATTTTCTTTATGGTTCTTGCCTCTTTCGTGAAATTCAATGCTCTGAAAAGCAAACAGTGTAAGAATCACCAGAATGTATGGACACTGTCTCAAACTGCAAGAACCCCCTTTTATCTCTGTCTACTCACAGGTTTGTTGTCTGCAATCCAGCACTTACAGTACTGGCAGAATTTCCTTGGTTGTGACTTCCAGTAGTCAGCCCTGAAAAAGGCAGATTCAAATACACGAATGAAAAGAGATTTCCATCACAGTGCACGAGCTAACGTGGTTAGCTGGGTTAGTCTGGGCACAAGAATGGTCACCTATATATTTGAATAAACATACAGATAATGTCCCAAATGACGTGGTACAACTTACATTTTAAATGTGTAGCGAAAACAGGACGAAAAGTTTAAAACGAGCAAAAATTCAAGACAGCCGCTTCTCGCACTTCAAGAATGAAAACATCGTCCCCTGGTTATGACGTCATACGCAGTCGCCTAGCTGGAGCGCGGAAGAAATGTTCAAATATACATTCAGATCATATGTACTAAGAGCTGCAATGACAAATGCTAGTATAAGCTCACAAGGTTGAATATAACCGCTATAAAAGGTTTATTTTGTTTTTTTAATCAAATAATGACAGATATGTCGATGGCTTTGAAATGGTAGCGCCACTTGCCTCTGAAAAAAAAGTTAATTCTCAATGTGGATCTGTTTTGTGAATTGACCGCTTCACTTGCCGTTGTACCGGCTCTTTGCTTGCTTTATTATGTAAGTTTTTATCGTTTAAAAAGGACAAAATGGCCTTTAGGAAGATTCAAATCAAATTAAAGCATTGGCTGTTTCCAAACCTTTGCGTGTCGATATGTAATTACCTGTTTGAAACTGGTGTCCTGAACATCTGTGAGTGAGCTAAATTTTAATCTGAGATTAGTTAGTTAACCAGTTAACCCTCTTAAACTGGTAGAAACTATAATCTCTACCTGAATGCGCTCTTTGCACTGTTTTTACTGTCGTACACACCAGTAATAATACTGCTTACCAATACGATGAATCACACGTGTTTATAAATACACATTCAATATGTAATTACGAGTATTCAACACGAATTGTATAAGTTTTAAAAGTTGGGAAGTCTTCACAGAAGTAATACGAAGAGACTCGTGCCCAAGACGGTTGACAACTGTCCCATATGGTCTAGCGGTTAGGATTCCTGGTTTTCACCCAGGCGGCCCGGGTTCGACTCCCGGTATGGGAACACGTTCTTTTTCTCCTTTAAAATATGTCATCATTTGTCACCATAAATACTAATTTTATGCCATTAAGAGGTAAAAGGATTCATATCGTTCATATTTAAAACATAACCAGTGAAGGAGTATTATAAACGTAATGTAGATGGAATGAAACGCTTCCAGTTCTACGCGCTTTGCATACGTCATCACTAAGAGCCGCTCTAGACACTCTACGTGCCAAGACCGCGACTCGTCCATAATTCGCCCCTCTTTGGTCAGGGGCCGAGCCGCGTTACTAGTGGATATCAGACTCGTTCAGACCCGAGTCGAAGTCCCAGGGAGCTGCCGATGAACGGCACCATGGCTGCGTCCTCGCACCGGATAACGATGGGGCCGCTGGTGGCCGCCATCGACCAGGGCACGAGCTCCACTCGTTTTCTGGTGAGACGAACCCGGCGCGAGCCGGTGGTGTTATATTTAATAGCTGTCTGAAAAACGGGTGACAGCCGGCGGTGTCCTTGAGTTCGCGTTCCAGTTTCAGCCTTTTATGATCGGGCTTGCGGGGCTGGTGACCTCGGTAAAAAGGTTTTAACCTTTTTTTAGGTCGTCAATGAATGTAGCTGCTTTAAAAACAATAGCAGGAAGGTAAAAAAAATAACCTGGAGATAAGTCATGGTGCCTTCACGTACAGTTTACAACTCGCATAAAATGATTAGATTAGATAGGATCAACTTTATTGTCATTACACATGCAAGATAACAAATTAACGGTGTTTGTAAGGTCAATTTTAATTCTAAATGACTATGTAAACTATACTTTCAGTATATGTATGTATATGTATCTATGTATTTAATGAGATGTGGCTCTAAAAGGGATTAATTCATTGGGATTATATTCATTTTGAAAATGAAACAGCAATATTCCTATTTGATTTATTGATTGATTTGTCTGTATGCGTTAATATGATAATCTTTTAGCTTTAAATGTGACACAATCCCATGTGACGTATGTTTGACTACTTTTTAATGTGATAATTGTTCTGTGAAAAGGTGAATGGGGGCTGTACATAGTTGAAACACTTCTAATGTGTTTCCGACAGCTGCTGTCCGTCCCCTTAACTTTTCTGTGAGCGTTTGACCTAATTAAAGGAATGTCAGACATGGAGGGGGTTTCCATAGATAATGATAAAGTGTTGTTTGGGGTGTTAAGTGACATTTATAATCCACAAAACGATAAGAAATGGCCTCATAAGGTCATAATATAAAAACAATGAAGCGATTCGCAGCTTTGGGAGTAACTGTTCCTTCCATGGCCGAAAAGACGTGTAACATATCAACTGAAGCTACTTTTTTCCTCTTTTTTTGTTTTGTTTTCAAGGTGTTTAATTCAAAAACAGCCGAGCTCCTCAGCCATCACCAGGTGGAAATCAAGCAGAGCTTCCCTAAAGAAGGGTAAGGAGTACGTTTAGGGTTTCAATATGCAGTCACACTGATTAATGACCTGATATTTATAGACCAAAAAAAAAAAAACACACACTCACTGTTTATTTTACTGGTTTTATGCTTATGTCGATGCTCAGGTGGGTGGAGGAGGATCCCAAAGAAATTCTGCAGTCGGTGTACGAGTGCATGGAGCGAACGTGTGAAAAACTGACCCAGCTCAACATCGACATCTCAAACATTAAAGGTATGCTCTATCAATGTTTCTGCACACAATTGGGATTTCTCATGTGATGGAAACTGATACAGTATTAGGAAAAAAAACAGGGTGTAAGGGGAAAGATATGAAGAAGAAAAACTGGATAAATGACGGTACGCACATAGGTTTTTAGTTAAAAAAGGATTTAAATAGTTGAGAACGACTGAGCCCGTTATTGTCCAGCCGATCTGCTGATAAACAAAAGTCCATCTCGACTTTTTGGCCACTCTGAGAATTTCATTCCGCGGTCCGTTACATTCTGTTCTCGGGCTGTTTTGGAAACGGCTGTCGCGTTTGCAGAGAGACGTAAAAAACTATCCACTTGTTCCTTTTTTGTGTAGCCATCGGAGTGACCAACCAGAGGGAGACCACGCTCGTTTGGGACAAAGAGACCGGGGAGCCCCTTTACAACGCCATTGGTACGTTTCCGAGCTTTTAAAAGTCGACGGTGGACACAGTTTTGGGGGATTTGGATGGATTTGAAGATGACACATGGGATTTTATTTGATTTTTCTCTAGTCTGGCTGGACCTAAGGACACAGTCAACGGTTGAACGTCTCATTAGTAAGACCCCGGGAAGGAATAAGAACCATTTGAAGGTAATGAATGTATTCACTATTGTTATTTTTTGTTTTTTGACTGTTCTTAAGGTAACGTTTAACTTGTTTCTTGGTCGTCCTCCAGCACAAAACCGGACTCCCGATCAGCACCTACTTCAGCGCGGTCAAACTCCGCTGGCTGATGGACAACGTGGACGAGGTCCACGAGGCCGTGGTGTCCCACCGCGCCATGTTCGGCACCGTGGACTCCTGGCTCATCTGGGTCAGCCCACCTCCTGCCTTTAGCCATTTGGGGGGAAAAAAAAGGCTAACTCTTTGCCGGTTTTTTAATGGTTTCAGTGCTTAACGGGGGGCAAGTCCGGCGGCGTCCACTGCACGGACGTGACCAACGCCAGCCGGACCATGCTGTTCAACATCCACACCATGACCTGGGACCCGGAACTTTGCAAGTAAAGGAAAAAAAACGGGATGGCTTTTCCCCAATCGTCTGTGACTTGGAGGTTTTTGTGGAAAGTAACCGAATCAAACTCGAAGGCCAATAAAACTTGACAATTTACTCTTTACAGAGCGCTCCTATATAAAAGCTTATTATATGGATACATATAAATATACATGTCCATACTCTTTAAACGAAATTCTCTATTTTTTACATCTTACTATGAAAGTTTGCTATTATATTTTGAATGTATTTCTTTTTTTATTTATTTATTTATTTATTTTTTCTCTTATTTTTTTTACCTTGTCCTGTTCTTCTCCTATGCTAACACATGCTAACTTGTTTAGCAGGCCCATTTAACCATACATTTTATTTTATTTCTGTCACCTTTGATTTACTAGTTTTCATGTAACGATCAAATATGATCATTAATAATATATTCACGTGCTTCATAAAGGAAAAAAAGAAAGAAAAAAAAAAAGATACTGGTAGGGCAACATCTTCTGGGAAAGTCCAGATTTGTCATCTAAACAACAGCTAAATCAACTTTGAAAAAAAATAAAATAAAAAACCTTAGAAAAAAATCATTTTCCAGGACCTGAAATAATTCCGAATTACCATAAAGAAAATGTATAAAAGCGCTAGGTCCAGGGTTTAAACCAGGCAGGCCACACACCCTTAATGTACACACTCATGCTTAACGCATACATACACAAATTAACCAAAAATACACACTTTTGGGCAAAGACACACACATTTCCATACACAGAGGCGTCCATAACTAAAGATTTGAAATCACTTGAATAGGGAAATTTAGGTTATAACACGAGCAATGATCAATTGATTACACTGATTTGCATAAATAAAGTCTATAGTAAAGGCACAAAATCCCTTTCAGAACATCTTATTGGGACGGAAATACACGGAATACATCGGATTAATAGATTTAAGAGCTTTTGATTGCCTTTGATTCATATAAAGTGTTAACTAAAGAGATGCTGCTCTTAAAAATAAATAGAAAAAGAAGCTAATCACGCTAATAGACGCATCTTATTCACGCATTGTTTCACTTTTCGTCCACCTCCCTTTCAGATATTTCGGGATTCCCATGGAAATCCTGCCCAGTGTTCGGAGTTCGTCCGAAATCTACGGCCTCATGGTAAGCTCCAGTCCGGCATTTAGGGAATTCCTGCATTCATAATAGCTCCCGTTTATTTATTTATTTTTTTACCCCAAATGACTTCTTGCCGTGTCTAGTGCGAGTAGTGTTTTGTTCTCATACAGAAATCCACTAATAAGATAACAGAAATGTGTTTTTGGATGTTTTTTATCTTGGTTAGCGTGTGTTCAGGTTGTTTTTTTTAATTCTTACTGAGAAATTCTTTGAGGCATTTTTGTGTGCCATTGTCTCCTCTTCTCTCACCGGTAGAAAATTTGTTCTAGCCGGGTAAGTGACTCTCACCATCACTACTTTTTCCTCAAGCATTGAACGTAACCCTGAGCTGCTTTCCCGTTGGCTGAAAAGAGTCCCCTCCGTCACACAGTACATTTCCAATCGTAAAAAAACGGATTTGGTCGGGTTTGGGTTTCGGAAAACGTCACGTTCGGGCCAGATGTGGCTTTATATTGACAACGATCAGAACTTTTTTTTTTTAAATGGAGAATTATCTATATCTTTTCTAGCTTTATACTGCTTTTTCATGCTGTTCCTGATCTCCCCACTTCAACTTTTTAATTAAAAGGGAAGCAGAATCCAACTTATACGAAACAGAATTCGGGGTATTCGCCTTTCTGTTGTCTTTTGGTCAACCTTAACGCTTTCAAAAAGTATAACTTTGGCATTTACCCGATTGGAAATGAAAGTTTTACATTTTATTCAAATTCATAGCGTCTGTTGTTGACCTGGAAGGACAACAAAAATGCTGACATGGGTTCAAATCTGAATTTTCACTTTGGAACGAACCAGCCAGCCGGTTTCCATCCACCTGTGTGAAAATAATTGCGGATTTCTGCTTTTTTAACATTAAAATCTGGTATTATTTTTAGTAAATTAGGTTTATTTTAACAATAGCTGTAAATACATGTCTAAAAATGATTATTAACATCTTAAAACTTCAAATTGTTCCTTCCAACGGAAGTTGGAAGGAACAATTTGGGTCAGAAATACAATCTTTTCTCCTTTGCCGCCCCCTAGTGGCCGCCATTGGGAATGACCAAATTTTAACCCCAGAAAAAAACAGATCCTAAAAACTTAAGGAGGCTTTTTTTATTTTTTTTTATTATTTTTTTTAAACTCTTGAGGTTTGTACACACACAGTACACGCTCCGTTGGAAATGTACTGGATGGCTTCTCGTTGCTTGTTGTGGTGGCATGCTGCTCGTCTGGTTAACGTCCAACACGACTCCCCAAAATCTCTTCACTCTTTTTGGGCCCGGTTTATTTCCACCGTTTTTTTTTTCTTTTTCTTTTTTTTCCCCCCTCTCTCTCTCTATCGCTGAGCATTTAACCAAAAGTGCATATAAGGGTGAAGACATTTTTTTTTTTCAGTTGTATTCCTCCTGGTTCCATTTATTTCTCCTCACTGTGTTCTCATTGTGAAGAAGTTACAGAATAGAGGCTTTATTTGTTTTTTTGGCCTTTTTTTCCAAATTCTTTTTGTTTATTTGGCTTCGACTGAAGGAATTTTCTCGCTTCAGGTGTTAAGGCAGCATCATTTGTCTTAGCATTTAGAGAAAAATTCCTTCTTTTTTTTGGTGATATTGTTTCCATAAGAACTAAAAATGCGTTAAAAAAAATGACTTTGTGAATAAATAAAGAAATCAGAAAGTGTTCGTTCTGAAACGATGTCCGACTCCTTTCAGAAATCCGGAGCTCTCTCGGGTATTCCTATCTCGGGGGTAAGTCCTGTTCAATGCACGTTATGTTTCTGATTTTGAAACTTGACGAAAAATGACCTGGTTCCATATTTTTTGTGTTTTTTCTTTTCTTTTCTCCAGTGTCTCGGGGATCAGTCGGCAGCTCTCGTGGGTCAGATGTGTTTCCAGGACGGACAAGCCAAAAACACGTAGGAGGATCGGTTTGTTCCTTTTTTACGTTTTCCTGGGCCGCAAAGCCGTGGCTCAAAACCTATATCCGGGTTTTACGTTTCAGGTACGGGACCGGCTGCTTTCTTTTGCGAAACACCGGAGCCAAGGTGATTTTTCCCGCCATTTTCCATCCCAACGAGGCGCCCGCGTTAGCCCAAAATGACCTTTTTCAGACTTTTTTTTTCTTCTTCCAGCCGGTGATGTCGGACCACGGCCTGCTCACCACGGTGGCCTACAAGCTGGGCCGGGATAAGCCCGCCTGTTACGCGCTGGAGGTACCGAATCCTAAAGAGACGACGATTTTATTCCGGTTAAAACGAGACGTTTTATAGCAAAGGTTCAACAGAAAGCCGAAAAAAAAGAAAGGAAACGCCGGAAACGGAAAAAATGGCTCTTTTAGGCCAAATGAGAGCATTTTGACAGGTTTTGCCTTTTTAAATTTTTTTTAAAATTCTTTTTGTGGTGAAAGTTTGCCATTATGTTTTGAATGTATTTCTTTTTTTTTTCTTTCTTTTTTTTGTGGTGAAAGTTTGCCATTATGTTTTGAATATATTTCTTTCTTTTTTTTCTTTCTTTTTTTTGTGGTGAAAGTTTGCCATTATGTTTTGAATGTATTTCTTTTCTTTTCTTTTTTTTTTTTACCTTGTCCTGTTCAGCATTATTAGAATCAGGAAGACTTTATTAATCCCAGAGGGGAATTATTTTTGCTACTAACTCCAGAAATACATGTCTATACATATATATATGCAGAATTCCACACAAAATATGAATAAATATATATATATATATATATATAGATCTAAAATAAGTGATCATGCCAGTAATTTAGTTCAAATTTGCAGAGGGGGGAGTGTCTGACTCTCTGAGGGAGGCGTTGTACAGATTGATGACCACCGAATTTATTAATGATTATGGCACCAGAACTGAAATCCGAGTACCTGCGCTTTGCCGAACGAAATTCCTTTTCCAAAGCGAATGTATTTATTCCGCCATTATTTTTCCCCAGGGCTCCGTGGCCATCGCGGGGGCGGTGGTCCGCTGGCTGCAGGACAACCTCGGGATCATCAGTGCTTCCGAAGAGCTCGGTACGCCCCCCGCTTTTATTTAAATACACATATCTATTTTTTTCCGATTCGTAACCCCTCCCGAAAAACCCTCTTTCCAGAGAAGTTGGCGGCGTCGGTGGGCACCTCCTACGGCTGCTACTTTGTCCCCGCCTTCTCGGGCCTCTACGCGCCCTACTGGGAGCCCAGCGCCCGAGGGTGAGCTACGCCGGGGGGGTGGGAGGATAGGATTAAAGCCCGGTGTTGTGGTTAAAACCCTGTCGTCGCAGGATCATCTGCGGCCTGACGCAGTTCACCAACAAGAGGCACCTGGCCTTCGCCGCGCTGGAGGCCGTCTGTTTCCAGACGCGAGAGGCGAGTAAAACTCTAAAAAAAAAAAAAATGCAAGGGGAAAGGGGGGGGGGGACAAGTAAGTTTGGCTGCAGACTACAGGAAGCCAAGGATGGATGTCCAAATATTTATTTCTCACAATTTGGAGGTGGAGGGTTATGGTTAGGGTTGGGGTTAGGATCAGGGTTAGGGTTAGGATAAGGATTAGGGGTCAGGGTTAGGTTCAGGGTTAGGGTCAGGGTTAAGGTTAGGATCAGGGTCAGGATTAGGGTCATGATTGGGGTTAGGGTTAGGGTCAGGATTAGGGTCAGGGTTAAGGTTAGGATTAGGGTCAGGGTTAAGGTTAGGATTAGGGTCAGGGTTAAGGTTAGGATTAGGGTCAAGGTTAAGGTTAGGATCAGGATTGGGGTTAAGGTTAGGGTCAGGATTAGGGTCAGGGTTAAGGTTAGGATTAGGGTCAGGGTTAAGGTTAGGATTAGGGTTAGGGTCAGGGTCAGGATTAGGGTCAGGATTGGGGTTAGGGTCAGGGTTAGGATTAGGGTCAGGGTTAGGTTAGGGTTAGGGTCAGGGTTAAGGTTAGGGTTAGGGTTATGGTCAGGGTTCGGACATCCTTTGTCTTCCGATTTCGTATAGACAGTAAAGTTGCAAGTCACATGACCTAATCAAAATGGCCGACTTGGACGTGGGCGGAGGTGTACATCCAACCGAGGCGTCCTACAGTCTGCAGCCAGATTCTAGAGAAAAGGATTGTCTTATTTATTTTGTGTCAGGCCCTATATATATGCAGGTTTCTGTGTGTAATAATCGCCACTTTGAATTTTGACGCAGATCCTGGACGCCATGAACCAAGACAGCGGCATCCCTCTGAACCAGCTTCAGGTGGACGGCGGAATGACGTCCAACAGGTTGCTGATGCAGCTGCAGGCCGACATTCTTTGCATCCCCGTCGGTGAGAGTGGTATTTATCTGATCTCCGTTTTCCCTCGAAGAGACTTGGAGGAGCAATAGGCTCCTACTAAACTGACTCTGGTATTGATAGAATTAGTTTTAAAAGTTCATTCTCATGTCTAAAACTCCATGCATTAAATTTCCTTTCAAGGAAAAAAAAAAAATGTTTTAAAAAATTCTCTAAATGAAAAAACAAACAAACAAAAACAAATTCAGATTATTTGAGTTGATAAATGGAATCCATGAAACAATACAACTCATTTTTTTTCCCCCTCCTCTTCTAAGTTTTTAAAATAGTTCCACATTTCTGTACGATTTCCTGCCAAATCGACCTTTTAAGGGCCAAGCCCAGAATATTTAAAAAGAAAGAGGACAGAGAGGCAAGAGGCAGAATGACAAGATAATTATAAGGAAATGCACGTGGAGGAAAAATGTTTGTCCCTGTTCAACGAGTTGCCACCGTTCCGTGTTTAGGAGATAAAAAAAGGAAACGCCCCCTGTACATTCTGCATTTGATTTATATTACTCTGTAAGCAATTTAACTTATCAAAAAAGGATGAATTAAGGTTGTTTAATTATAAATAATCGTTATTTTATCGTTATTTTAGTTTAAAAACGGTAGTTTCACGAGGCGGTTCTGTAGTTTCACGAGGCTTTATTCCTTAATTTTTCTCAAGCTGGTTTGTTGTAAAGAAAAAAATAAAAATAAAAAATAAAAAATAAAAAATACAATTAAACTAAATAAAATAAAATTACACAAATAATTCATAAATTAAGAATTGATAAAGAAATCATAATAACAATAAAAATGAATAAGAATTAAAATAATTACAAATAATTTAGAAAAATAAAAAATTACACTAATAAAGACACTTCAAAAGCAAAAAAAAAAACTCAGCAATTAAACGTATAAAAAAAAGATGAATTAAGATTACTGAATGATAAATAATCGTCATTTTATCGTTATTTTAGTTTAAAAAACGGTAGTTTCACGAGGTGGTTCTGTAGTTTTCCCCACTCGGCTTTGTTCCTTAATTTTTTTCAAGCTGGTTCGTTGCAAAAAAAAAAAAGAAAAAGTGACTAAGTATTGTGGCGTGAATCCCCAGTGAAACCTTCCATGCCGGAGACGACGGCCCTGGGAGCGGCCATGGCGGCGGGGGCAGCGGAGGGGGTGAGCGTGTGGAGCCTGAACCCCGAGGACCTGAGCGAGGTCACCTCGGAGAAGTTCGAACCGCAGATCAACCCCGAAGGTGCGAAAATCAAACCCACATAGTAGCTTTTAAGTTGAGTTTTTTGCTTTTAAAGTGTCTTTGTTAGTGTAAAATGTTTTTTATTTTATTTTTTTTATTAAAGAAAAATGTTTGTTTTTTCTAATAATTTTTAAAAATTATTAATATAAATTATTTTAATTTTATTAATAATTTTATTATTATTATATTTTTTCATTCATTCTTAATTTGATTAATTAGTGTAATTTTATTATTTTTTTATTTTATTTTAATTGTAATCTTTCTTTTTTTTTAAACATTTTTAAAAATTTTATTTTATTTATTTTACTATTTTTTATTTTTTTAAAATTAGTTATTAATTCATAATTAATTAATTAAATGAATTATTAGTGTCATTTTACCCTCTCTCTGCAGAGAGCGAGCTCCGCTACGCGCGGTGGAAAAAGGCGGTGGAGAAGTCCATGAACTGGGAGACCACCCAGCCGGTCAGCAACGGAAACGGTACGTGCTCCGTCTCGAACCAAGATGACCCTTCAGAGGACGCTGCATGGATAAAAAAAATCACGTAATCAAGCGAGTGAGGCACGTTTGTCGTGTAACTGCATGAAAAAGTGTCCAAAAACCAGATTTTTTTGCCAAATCCAACTTGGGCTACGTTTATGTGTTGTCCTAAATCAAAGACGCATTTTTATTTTCATCAGAGAAAATTCTGTGTCAGTGGTCAAGTTTAATTTAATCAGAGTTCTATGTGACAGATTTTCCATGGCGGCCTGTTTAGAGGATAAACAACCCTCTGAGCATGCGTTAAAAACGCGTAACTTCCAGCAAATATTGGATCCTGTCAGAGTCTGTTGGCTAAAGGCAGGTTAAGGAAGCCATTTTGGCCGAATTCAACTCCACCCCCCCCCCTTCTCTGACTTAATCTTTCTGGAATGTGTACACCACTTTGGTTCGTTCCTCCTACGTGACGTAAAGACACTTTTTCCTCCCAGGAAGCAACAAAAATAGCCAATGTGAACGGAATACAACATAAAAATTTAGATTTTCCCATTCGTTCAAACTTTGGAAAAGTTGCCTCGATCAACGTATCAAAGCAGTGTGTGCGTCAAAGTCATCGGACACTGTTTTATTTCGGGAAAAAAAAGGAGAAAATGACATGTGAATACCCCAGCAAGTCATAGAAAAGAAAGGTGGCTCTCATGGCCACCATCTTGAAAGTCGCCCCATTTTGGACCGAGGGCAATTTTTTTTTTCCCCGAATGGAGGGTGGGGTGGTCATGTTGCATGTCAAAGAAGACCCAAATTGTTCTGTTTTGATCTTTCGTTCTTTAAAACTGGGAAATGACACTCGTGATGCTCAGCTGATTGACGTGTGGTGAATGCATAACATTTTCACAGACAATTCTGGTATGTATTTTCACGTATTTCCTCATATTTGTGTAAATTCGTACATATATATAGATATTTCTATATATCTATATATAGCTATATACGTACACATGCCTACACAGAGCGTCTTTTGGGTTCTTGTTGGCTTGTTTTTTTATAAAAACCCGCCCTCATTAGCTGATTATTTCTCTCACAGTGGATTTGTGTTGTAGATTCTCAATCCCAGAAAGGCCCAGTCTTTCGTCTTAAGGCCTCAAAGTGTCAAAGTGTTTTGGCATTTTTGACCAACACTTGGTAGCAAAAACAAGGTGTAGGAGTTGTTTGAGCCCGTTTCTTTTTTGGGATCAATTTGAGATCAAAAAACAATGTTTTGGCCTTTTTTTTTTTTCCAGTCTTAAAAAATGAATAAATCCCGGTGCATTTAAAACTGTATCGGGCAGCCACAGGTTCATTCATGGCGTTTTTTCCATCAGTGCTTACTCAGCCCTGCCGCGGTCAAGGTGGTTTCAAGTGGTTTTCCGGAACAAATTGGGAGCAGGAAGAAAGGCCGGCGCGTGACGCCCTTTTGGACCGCAGTTGCCGGTTCGCGTTTGTGATCACGGGAGTAATGAAAACGCACGTTCGGCGTCGTCACGTTCGTAAAAAAAAAAAGGTCAAGCCTAATCATTTGACTGCCCCTGGCCAATCGGAGCCCGGCAGTCCGCCAGCTGGCCCTGCTCGGCTCCCACGGATTTCCAACTCCGCCCACATCCAAGTCGGCCATTTTATGTCACCAATAGGAAGATGCCCAGCAAGAAAATGGTAATTGCTTTATGGCAATACAGACATTCATTTAGAAATAGTGAACTTAATCTTGCAAACACTGAATTAAACTCTATACATAATATTATGTTAAAATAGTGGATGTTAAATATGTTTGTACAATAAGTCCAAACAAATTTAACCAAAAAATATTTATTTCTCACAATTATGTAGGGTTAGGGTGGAAGGTTAGGGTCAGGGTTAGGGTGGAGGGTCAGGGTTAGGGTTAGGTTTAGGGTTAAATTTAGGGTTAGGGTTACAGTGGAGGGTTAGGATGAGGGTGGAGGGTCAGGGTTAGGTTTAGGGTTAGGGTGTAGTGTTAGGGTCAGGGTTAGGGTGTAGTGTTAGGGTTAGGGTGTGGTGTTAGGGTCAGGTTTAGGGTTAGGGTGTAGTGTTAGGGTTAGGGTCAAGGTTAGGGTTAGGACATCGTTTATCTTCCGATTTCGTATACACAGCAAAGTTTCGTTTCCACCTCAGAAAGCTGCTAGTCAAACGACCTAATTAAAAATGGCCGACTTGGACGTGGGAGGAGTTGGACATCCAACCGAGGCGTCCTACAGACTGCAGCCAGAGGCCGCTTGCTGAAGTCGTAACTGTTTTAACTGGGGCCCTACTGGAAAAAAGCAAAAATACTGTGCCGAACCGAGTAGGCACTAGTGGAAATACGCCAATAAGCCCCCCCCCACCAACCCTTCCCAGTTTGACGCTTAGAACATTTGTCTGTGTTTGTGTTAAACAGGTGAACCGGGTATCTTTAGCAGCATCCCCCTGGGCTTTTACATCATGGGCAGCATGTTGATGCTAATCGGTGCGAAATACATCACAGGTCAGTGGCTTTCGGCCATTCGGGGGACTTCTCGCGAACTTTCAAATTGGCTTTTAAAGGAGGAGTTGGAAATGGATTTCAAAACGTTTCCAAGGGTTTTATCGGGTGAATAAAACCAAAGATAAAGTGTACTCGAGATTCTTAAGAAGACAACATTAGCCCACGTTTTTTTCCATTTGCTTGTCTTATATCAGTAATTCTTAAACTAATCGATTGTCTTTGCTGTTATGCTTTCAAATTCAAATTATTTTAATAAGCGAGCAATCATATTTGATCAATGGAGGTGATTTTTTTTTTAACTAGAATGCAGACCATTAATAACTGCTTTTGTTTTGTTTGCTTTCTGTCAACTTCAGGTCACGACTAGTCTCCTGAAATTTGGAAAATAAAGCCGAAAGTTGGGGGGAAGGGTGGGGGGGGGATGCTTGTTGGGCTTGACCACCATGGATAGACTCGTTGTACCCCTCTCTCTCTCCTGAAACCATTCCAGAAGAACAAGGAATCAGGAAGGCTTCGTTTGTGTTGTTTTTATTTGATTTTTTAAACTCTGTCACTGTCAGTGCCAGAATAGTCTGGGTTTTAAAGCCAGAGATCAATTTTTTTTGTAGCAGCTTTGCCCATGCATTGATACATTTTAATTTTTCTTTTTAACATAAAAGATGTTAATTTTAACGATACTTGTGTAGAAAACTTGACGGCTGCTCAGATTGATGTTAAGCACTCGGTTTGATTTCTGTTTGCATCACCGTCCTTCCCGATTGGTTCTCCAGTGGCCATTTTGTGACGTTTTTTTTTTTGCTTTTAAAGAACCAACACAAAATCCTTTTTAGAGCACTTTATCTTTTTAACTTTTTAATTTTGTTTATGAATGCTTAGGATTGCGGTGGATGAAATCCTCTTGACGGTAAAACTCACGGGAAGAAATGGATTTGATAAACTGAAAATTATGCTGCTTTTAGTGAAAGCGAAGGTATGTACAAATAAAATAAAAGTGTTGTGTAACTGGCAGTCATGGGGGGAAAAGGGCAATTATAACTAAGTTTTTTAATCAACGCACCAACAGAATTTGAACACAAGTCCAGCTCAAAAATCTGGTGCTAGCATCTTATAAGTTAATCCATAAAGAAGTGGTTTTATTGCACTAAAATTGAAGATTTTAAGACTTTTTTGCCCATTTACATCACTACACAAGGCAAGGGAGTTTTATTAAATCACATGAGAACTGGCCTTTTACAAACCCTCTCGGTTTACACTTAAACTTGAAGTTAAAAAATGTTAAAATCCATATTTATTGCAAAGGGCCTGTCCTGTAAGACTTCTGTTTGGCTCTGAAGGAACAAATGATGGGGTTTGAATGTAGGTTGGTGTCAAAAACAACATGGCTTGCGTTTAGCCTGCCCGCCAAATGGTTTTGCATTTACTTTGCATAGTTAAGGGAGTTATTTATTAAATGGCACGGTCCTCCTCTGCCTTGACATGACGGTGTGACAAGGGGCATACTACTGGGATAAACACACGATAAGCAAAGCGGGACCTTTTAACTGTGAATGTGTGTTGTTTTTTTTTAACAACCCTGCATGTGTGTCTGTGACATAAAGGCTGTACAATTATTTTGGTTTGTTTCCCCATGACATTAAAAAGAAATACTACTCGGATCCTGTTGGTCTGGTTGTGTTATTTATCACCACGCTTCACTGCATAAAGTTTAGTTTAATCTTCAACAAACTTGGGCCTAGATGAAACTGCTTCTCCAACCAGGGGAGGAGTGGAAAAACAAATAGGCAGGAGCTGTTCAGGGAGGAGTTTAACCCAACGTTAAATTCAGGTTTTTCAGCTCTGGTGTTTTCGTTTCGTGGCTCATTGTGCTCCAGACATTTCAGTGGTGGCGGAGTTTCAAAAAGAAGTAAGTGTTTTTGCTCTTTAAACTCGAGTCAGGTAGCTAGTCGTAATTTAACTTTTTCTTTGAAGAATTCACGTTCTTAATTTGTTTTATTAATTTGTTTATGAATACATAAACGAATAAATGTTTATTTAATAATTTCTTTTAACGAGTAAAAATGCAACATATTAAAAAAATATATATAACTTTTTTTTTTTTTTTTAAATATAGGGTCACCTGTGGAACAGGAAGTACGGGCAGACGTCACCGTGGTCTCCTTGGCGGTCGTTAGTCGTTAGTCTCGCGTGACAGGTGAGCGTGTCAGTCGAAATGGCTCACCGCAAATCCCTTCAAAGGGTTCGCCTTGACGACAGACGTTTCCCAAACAGGTGCGTCCGCGTGTCAGGGGGAAGTGAGGAGTCGTTGGCTGGGTGTGGAGTGGATGAACCGGCTGCCATGTTGGATCCCAGAGGCAACGAGACGAGGGGCCACATTCCACCAGAAGGGGCCCACTTCAGTTCCTACCCCGAAGGTGTCTTTTCAAACGGTCCGTGTTAAGCTTTCGTCCCTCGTGCGTATTTCTGGGGAACGAGGAAGTTATAACCTGTTTGTTTATGGCTTAATTAGAAGCTTGCTTAAAAAAAAATCGTACCTCAACGTACAGCTTTCTCTTAGTTAAAAATAAACTATTTTTTCCAAATTGACATGAGCATTAAAGATTAATAGTTAACACAAATACGTGATTTGTTCAGTATTTTCCATTCAGACTAAGTTTTCTACGTGTTAGTGAACGCAGCCAAAGTTCAAATTTAATGGAGTTGACTGTTTTCATGGCAGTTAATAGCAAACAGCAGGAAATATATGGTATTGGAGCAGAAAATAACTTGGTAGGAATTCACTTTTATGGGTTTTAGGAATATTTTCTGTTAAAATCGGCAATAAAATCTTGTTTTAGGTGATGTTTCAAAGCAATAATCAATGCACAACAAAACCCTCTGAGGAGCTTTGGTTCGTTCCCTTTCCTAATTTTTTAAAATGCTGTATCTGGGTATCCCCATAAATGTTTTATTTGAAGAAAATATGATTACTAAATAGAAGAAACAGGTCAGTTGACTTTTGGAAAACATAAAAATGAAGAAGTCTGTGTGTTTTCAGATTTACAAATGATTTGCAAATGCAGCACGAGAGCTAGAAGTAGCTTTCAGTTTCCCCCCATTCTCTCATAACAGGATAACTGATCCGTAGTTTTTTTTTTCTTACACAACAAAGAATGTCTACATGTAAAGACAAGCCATGCCAGCGTAAAAAGAAAAAAAAAAAGCTTTAGATTTTGACCCGCATACCCATTTACTGGATTGTGTCTCAAAGCTAATGTGTGGAACTGTACAATTAAACATATGCACTGCGTAAATAAAATTCCTAACAATTCTATTATTTTTCCTTCTAACACAATATAGTGTATTAGTGTATAGTTTGAAAGCATCAGCAAAATCTGTAATATGTAAAGCTTGTATTTTTAGGTTGTTTATTCAGATTTTCTTTACTTTTTCCACTAATTGGTGATATTGTGTCTACAGGATCCGTTCAACCTGTCCACAAGAAGAGCACGGTGAAAGAGCTGCTGCTGATTAGACGCCAGGTCAGTGTGTTAGATGGATCTTGAGATGAATGCAAAGTTTTCTAGTGTTGGGGAACCATAATAAGATGAATTGATAAAAGACAGAGAGAAGAGTAACTTTTCCTAGACAGCATATAGATAGATAGATAGATAGATAGATAGATAGATAGATAGATAGATA